TTGTATGGCTGGACTATTCTGAGAAGGTGCTTACCGAGCCAGAAAACTAGCAGGATATATGGTTAGTAGTTCTCAGGGGTTGGTCTGAGGACGTGATGAGCACCAGCCACTATTTTTTTTTCATATTCATTTGTTTGTCAAATTCAGTCTCTATCCTTGCCAACAACCCCCTCTGCCACTCAGGCTCTCCAGAACCATGGTGACAAAGCTGGTTTTTAGCCAGATCCAATTTAATCTCCATTGGCGGTACTGGATAAAGCTGTCTCCATCTTCCCCAGCTGAGGCCAAGGAAGGCTAGGCACTCCACTGGGAGCTGCTCATTCAACACACAAGGACATAATTCACACTCAGACACAACTTAGCGCACATGCACATGTACAGACAAGATGAAGAGAGAGCACTAAACTAACAGTCTAACATGCACAATTGTTTTTGCAGTAGCTCTCTCCTGTCCTCCTCCTCTCTCCCACCTCTGCTGTGTGCAGAAGGGGAAATGATATCACTGTTATGGAAATGAGATAATGAAATGGAAAAAAGAGAGGCACATCTGAGACTCCTGCTTCTTGCCTGCAGCTCATCTGCTTCCTTATTTTATTTATTTATTTATTTTTAACTTTAGCTATCAGAAACCTGTGTATGCGAGTGTGAGTTTGATTGTATGTGCCTGCAGATGGTTGAGTGGGTGGGGAAACACAGGAGAGTGACACTACAACCAGAGATGCCCAGTTTTGCTAATTACATACTGTACCTTAACCCAGAGGTTGATGACAACAAAATCTGCAATACCAAAATGAGTCACAAATGCTTTCAGAGCAAAGAAACAAGTGAGTTTAGAAAATCTCAGCATTATTTTGACTGTAAAGGTTCTCTCATTATTTAGTACTGATCCCCCCCTCATGGTTTTGGACTTTTCACATCAGTGTGAGTGGCAGATGTGCTTCTTATGCAAATTCCAATTTGCCAACAAGATCAGAAAAAGCATCCAATTAACATCTAAATGTGCCACCAGTGGAATAGCTTTTTTCAGCTCATTGCTCCCAAATGACCTCTGCTCTACTGCTCAACATACAGAACATGGCCATTCACTTATTTAACATCTTGTAATTTTGCTCTGGAGGGATGTAATCTTGTACTGGCAGAAACAGTAGAAGAGGGTGCTTTAGCAAAGTTGATTATTGATTGATTGATCTTAAACATGCACATGAACATTTTTAATAGAATCTAAAGGGCTGTTGAAGGATGCCTCTGATAATACAAACAGAAGTTTTAGAGGGTGGATTACTGCGCATCTGCCTCTCACATTTTATTGAGGTCACCGAAGTGGCAGGCTGGCAGTGATGGAAAGTAACTCAAACTGTATTTAACAAAGTACTCTACTTATTGTAAGGGAAATTATTTATACCTTCCATTTTATGCATTTTATTATTTTACTCTTGATTTCACAAGGAGTACTTTTAATTCCAGTCATTTGTTACTTTACAGATACATTTTCTGCATACAAAACATCCTGTATTATAAAATTTGTTTTGCTATACATTACAGATGTAACAATACCAAAGACCTCTGGTGTGATATTGCCATGATTTGATTGGAACACTGAAATGCTGTTTACACACAGAGTGCTATAGTAGGGAGTCCTAAAACCCAGACCTGAGTTACACTGTAGCATTTTTGCCCCTGCGGTTCTCTCACTACGACATCAGTGGGTTTTTTTGAATGAGTTTTTGGTTAGTCAGTGGGTTTTTTGAATGAGTTTTTGGTTAGACACCTGATATAAGTTCTATGGTTAACACAAGGCCAGTGCATTTTCATGGTTTGTTCAATGATATAAAACACACCAGTAAATTGGATTGGATTGACAATGAATGCCCATTTTGTTTGTACTGTGTGCGATTTATGAGGATGCAACACAATTCACATCCTGCTGTCATTTTCAGGCTAGTCTGCTGATTGACAGTTGGCTGATGTAATGTAAACATTTTTTTTTTTTTTTGCTTGGCAGATGTTTAATAAGGAAGGAAATGCCTCAAGGCCAGGCATAGTTCATTTTGTTGATAAACACTCAGTGGAAACACAACTGTTGTTGTTTACAAGAAAATTCTACAGGGCACCTTTAAGAATTATTGCAAAGGCAGAACTTTACCTCTAGCACAGCACGTTGTGCCTTGGAGTATTGGAGTATTTCTACTTTAACTTATGTAAAGGATCAAAATACTTCCACCACACTTGAGGGTTGGCTTAAAATCCACTATAAAGCATCACGCACTGAAACTTTTATTGATTTTGGAAATTCACAAGGCATAAACAGCAAATCTATAAATGCTGATTGTCAGTGTGTTTCAGAATTAAAAGATGCATCAGTTCAGCCTTAGCAAAGCATTTGTTGCAATTTTATACATCGTTGCTTTTACAACATTGGAAATTTAAAGCAAACCATTGAAAAAAACATCAATTACCCTACTGTAGGGCCACAAACAGGTACATTATATGCCTGGGGCACTGAATGAGAACATAAATGACATTTCCATTACACACTAACATTTGCAGTGTGTAAGACAGAATCCAAGCAATGAACTTGTATGAGAAGTAGTTAAGATGTTGAAAGGTAAAGTCAGCTATGTCTGCTATGCTCTGCTGTATTTAAAATTTTGTCAGCTGCATCCCCTCTACCAGGACATCTTTTATCTCAGACCTGTCAGTGCACTGACATCTCACTTTTAGCAACCCCATTCCTAAATCCCACATCATTAATGTCTCATTAGCCATGCTTAGATATATTTACTGAATATACTATGAGTAATTCAGAAGTGTTTTGAGAGGCTTCATGAAAACTAAACAAACAGGAAATTATTCAGTAATGGCAGTGATGAGAGTTGATGCTTGAGCCAAATGATGTGAAGGAGCAGGTCTCAGCTACCCAAGGATATGTGCAACTGTGAGAACATTACTGTGCTCGTTATGTATGTTTAATAGAGGGTTATTTGTTTTTGTTGCTGTTGGTATTGGCTATGTAAAAAGCAAGCATTTATGAGCATCAGTAGCAGCTATAGCAGTTGAAGATCATTAATTATGGGTGTTTTTGTATTTTCCTCCAGGACTTTTAGTTTGTTGCAGATACTGGCTCATTGGTGTAAATGGTACTTTGTTTGGCTAGTGCCCTGGGGTCTTGTTTCTAAGCCTTTTTTTTTGTTTTAAGTGGCAGCCTTGCGTGAAGCTTCCTTAAACTGAGCCTATTTCTCAAGCCCTTATCCCCCCCTGTGGAATTCACCACCAGTGTATTCACCTCCAAATGGAGAGAAGGGAAACAATGAAGGGTAAGAGCAAGAACTGTCCAACAAGGCTTTATGAGTAGCCAGTTAGTGTCTGTATCAGTGCTGTGCATAGCATTTAGACTGGCAAGACAAGTGCAATGGGGCATTAAACTAACAAGCTGAATGAGACAAACAGCATGGTTGGAAATAGGGAGGGACCAGTGTTTAGCACATGGCTAAGGATACACTCTGGCTGAGACTCCCAGTGCACCATTAGGGAGGAGTGTCGCCACGCTCATTAACATCGCAGCCTGGATGGAGGAAGAACTGAGCTTGCTGCCGGGCACGAGTCTGTTGAGAGAGGCCCACACAGAAAGCTGTTCCTCCAGCTTGAAAGGCGCACTGCAGTCCTTGTGATTTCTGCCTGATTTTTTTTTTTTTTCACCAATTTGTACTCCTTCTCCTAATCATATCCCGTATCCGCTCTCTAAATCATCTCATCCCAAACCTCTTCACTAATCATCTAAGTTGGAGAGGAAGAAATGCTTAGCAGATGCCAGTATTGTCAGGGGTCGACTACATGGAACTGCACGTTCACAACTCATTTCAGGAAGTTTACTTAACATGACTTGTTCCTTGTTTATCTCTCTGTATGGTGCCGTGTGCACAGATTGAAATGTCCTTGAAGTCTAATAAGGGGAAACACTGGTGCTGTGATCACACCTGTGGGTAGTTTAAAGTCCTTAACTTTTGTCTGAGCTACAGAAATGTGAATTGAATTTACTTATATATCACATTATGTTGCATTTTTATATCCCTAATTGTATTAAATTAGGAAATGATGCTAAATGAATGTGAACGTAATGTAAATAAATGTGCTAACTGATGAGGTCTGTTCCAAAATAAGAGATGCGCTATTTTAAATATGACCAAAAAGAATTTTTTTTTTTTTTACAATTATTAAGCCACTGTTTGTAGAACAATAGTAATTCTTTGTATTTCTTCTTTTTTAAAAGTGAACTTATTTGTATAAGGTTTTGTAATGAAACCTTTATGGAATGTAAACGTGCTATGTTGTAAAATCATTTTGATACTTTCCCATAGCAAAGAAGTGAGCAGCATTAGGAGAGATATTGAGAGATAATGTTTGTCTTGTGGCCGACTGTCAGTATATACATTTGGTCATCTAGTTGACACTTAATGCTGTATACAATGGCTAATTTGGTTGACAGTAAACTGGGCGTAACTTTTATGATTCAAATTAAATTAATGTTGATAGGTTACTGCTTCTGACACAGCTACTTATCCATTTTCCCAGTTTTTCAGTGAAGATTACATTAAATCAGTATTGTGTTCCATTCTTCCCTTGGCCAAAGTGCATCAGGAAAGATGTCCTGTAGAGCGTGACTAGGTCAGATATTGACTCAAAATCCTAGAAATTATTTTTTCTTTAAAAGAAAGAAAACAACGTGTAGCCTCTTGGCACATCTCATGATAATAGTCCTGATGTTGCATCAGTTACACCCAAAAGTAACTCTGTTTGGAACCCTGAAAGGCGCAATCTGTAAATTTTCATTACATAAATTATACAATTATGGTTGAGCACAACCGCAGCCACAGAGTTTGGTAGAGGCTTCTTTAAAGTGAGGCAGACTTTTAATCAATACACCATTTGTTGTTCTAAACTTCTCATTCCCTCAGAAATGACCAGAATGCTAACACATTTTGTGCTTTTTTTTTCCTCCACAGCACCTCCAACTGTCCGCATTATACACTCAGGGCACGCCTGTAATGTTGAGGAGGAGAGGCACACGGAGAGAGTCTACACAATCAGAGAGGGTGAGACCCTGGAGCTCACATGTCTGGTGACGGGGCATCCTCGGCCACAGGTAAAGGGCTCGGTACTGGTTTGTCTGCCCTTAATGAATAGCATGGACAAAAATAGTAACACAAGGGAATCATGGGACAACATGCTAATGTTGCAGTCTGTGTCTGAATCAGAAAGATTGCTTTTGGTTCTGTATTGAGTGATAGACCATGGAGTGATAAACCCTGCACTTTGTGTTGCATTTTTCCCCTGCATGTTGATAATGTAAGTGTCCCTGTATATTCAGAATGCAGAAAATATCTGCCAAAGCATAATGTAATGAGTGAAAAGCAGGTCACAGTAGAAAAGACTGCATCTGACAGCTTTTTTTTTTTTTACTGTTGTGGTTTGAACAAATTAAAAAATGTTCTGCCATTTTCTGAAGAAAGCAGGCTGTTCATTTATTTTAACCATCCAAATCTTAGACCTCAGTATCTAAAAAATGCTAATGAAAGAAAGAAAACAACAGAATCAAGATCTTATCTCACTAACTTATAATACCAACAGCACCATCCATGCAGGTATAAATGTCAGCTCTGCCACAGATGACCTGACCATCACATTTTGTTCTTGTATTAATCTAAGCAGGATTTGCATACTCACCTTTCAAACATTTATTGCATGCAATTTCAAATTTGCTTGATAATAGGGAACTATCTCCGGACAGGACTGAGTTCATTTACATTCATTAATATAATTTCTCTTTTGATCAATGGACACGGCCATGAGTTTGTACACTTCCCCTCTGGACGTCAAAACAAACTAGCATATTGATTTCTATATTTCAATTGAAAAGGTGAGGCCTCTTAAATTAGCGAGAGGTTCAGACACACTGTTCAACTCTCTCCTTCGTCAGGGGAGACAATTTTGCAGTCATCATATCTGTCTCTCCTCTTAATTAGAACTTCTGAAAAACAGAGCAGGCTGGGGGGAGTGGTAGGGGTTAGGAGGAGAGTGGGAGATCAAAAGCCTCACATGGCTGTGGCAGGAGAGGCAGGACGTCTTTTGAAACCAAGTCATTATGAGACTCGCACAGATCCCCTGGCACAGCAAGCTTTGGCTGTGTCTCTCCAGACTTTGGGATGTGTCAGCTTTATCCCGCCCTCACGTAGAAGCAACACACACGGCTGGGAAAGTTGTCTGGTGTGGCAGTAGAGCTGAGGCTAGTTTTGCACTGTCGGTGGAGAAACACAAGGGTATGTGACCAATTTGGAAACAGACTAGCAAGTTAATATAGCGATAACAGCTCAACCTTTCTTTTGAATTAAATATTAATCCTCAGAACATGTTCAAAGTATTTTGTTGCCTCAAAGTTCCACATTTTAATTGAGTTGAGCTCCATCTTTCAAGAGAATACAGTCGCAGGAAAGTAATGGCACTGTTTGCAATTTCCTACTTTTCTGCATAAATTGCTCATAAAATGTGATCTGATCTTCACCAGAGTCACAAATATCAACAAACACAACATTTCTAAGTTGATAAAGCATAGACAGTCATGATCTTTCATGTCTTTACTGAACACACCCATTAAACACATGAATTGATGGTGGAAAAAGTGCTGGCAATAGTGTTTTAATAACTGGCTGAACCACCTTTGGCACCAACAACCTCAAGCAAGCGCTTCCTGTAACTGTGGAATAGACCTGCACAACATTCAGAAGGAATTTAGGAACATTCTTCTTCACAGAACTGCTTCAGCTAAGCCATATTCTTAGTACATCTGGTGTGAACGGCTCTCTTGAGTTCATTCCACAGCATCTTTATTGGGCTGAGGTCTAGGCTCTGACTGGGCCACTCCAAAAGGTGGCTTTTGTGTCTCCATTCTGTAGTAGATTTACTTCAGTGTTTAGGGTCATTGTCCTGCTGCATCACCCAGCTTGTTCTGGGCTTCAGCTTGCAGACAGCCACCCTGATATTATCCTGTAGGATACCTTGAAAAACGTGGAAATTCATTTTCTCCTCCACAAGGGCAGGTGGTCCAAGTCCAGAGGCATCAAAGCAGCCCTAAATCATGATGCTCCCTCCACCGTACTTCACTGTTGGGATGATGTTTTCATGTTGGTACGCGGTTCTCTTTTTACACCATATATAGTGCTGGGTGTTCTTGCCAAACAGTTTTACCCTCGTTTCACCTGTCCACAGGACATTTTCCCTGTAGTGTTGTGTAGTGTTATGGGGGGCGGCTGTGGCTCAGGAGGTAGAGCGGGTTGTTTCCTAACCGGAGGATTAGCAGTTTGATTCCCGGCTTGTCGAGTCAACATGTCGAAGTGTCCTTGAGCAAGACACTGAACCCCCAGTTGCTCCCGATGATGTCACCGGTGTGTGAATGCGTGAGTGCTTGGGAGTGCGAATGGGTGAATGGCTGAATATGTGAAAGCGCTTTGAGTGCGCTGTAGAAAGGCGCTATACAAGTATAAGACCATTTACCATTTAGTGTCATGGTGGTCTTTGGTAAACGTCAGGCATGCTGCAGTGTTGATTTTGGAGAGCAATGGCTTCCTCTGTGGTGTCCTGCCATGGGTACCATGCCTGTTCAATATTTTGTGTATGGTTGACTCATGACCAGATGTTAACCAACTCTAATGAATCCTTCAAGTCTTTAGCTGTTAGTTTAGGTGTCTCTTTTACCTCACTGAGCCTTCTGCATTGTGCCTTTGGAGTGATCTTAGCTGGGCACCAACTTCTATGGAGCAGCCACAGTACCAAATCAGCTCCATTTATAGACAAGATGTCAAACTTTGGACTGATGAATATCTAAAGTCTTTGAGATGACTCTGTAACCCTTTCCAGCTACATGCAAATCAACAACTTTTGATCCTTCTGAGATCTCTTTTTTGTGAGGCATGGCTCACATTGGCTGATGCTGCTTGTGAAAAGCACACTGACACTGTGAGTGTTTTTAGAAATCAGGGTACTTTTCAACCACATCATTGATTGGACTCCAGGTTTGCTAACACCTGACTCCATTTGACTTTTAGTGACATCAGAAGCCGTCATGTTTCCATTACTTTTTCCATCATCACTTTGCATATTTAATGGGTGTGTTCAATAAAAACATGAAAGATCATGACTGTTTGTGTTTTATCAGCTTAGAAATATTGTTTAATATTTGACTTTGTTGAAGATCAGATCACATTCATGACCATTTTGTGCAGAAAACCAGGCAATTCCTAACAGTGTAATTACTCTATATATGGGAAAAAAGTAATCAGTACTTGCAAAGGTTGTGGTACTCTTTCACTGTGTCCTGTCTTGATTAATGGCGTGGGCATAGGTTTGGCTTCAGCATTTTTTATTTTGTATCAAACAGTCAGTATGAACAGTTGTATGTTTGCACACTTGCTCGCCATGCTGCATGTGTGCATACACACACCACTGACCTGGTGGATCAAAATACTGTAAAAAATGAATAAAAATAACCAGTAGCTCGTGTTATACTCAGTTTAAACCATATATTATAAACTGTTGTAAAACTTGTAACACAGTAAAACCTGAATAACTGTTTTCTTTTTTTAGTCTACTGATTTGATCTACACAAAAAAATGTTAAACTCAGCATTTCATCATGACACCAGAGCTCACCAGGGGTCTTTATTTCACCTGCAAGTGTACTCCTGATATGCTTGTCCTGGTAATCACCGAAAATCAATGGCGCATGCTGTGTTAGTCTTTAACATTGGTAGATACTTGTCCGTACCCAAATCTATATGTAGTGGGAAAGATGCTTCTCCTATGCATGAAAATATTTATTTGTTACTTATATCAGCAGTTACTTAAATCACACTCACCATCTGGACTACAGTTTCACAGGGGCCCAAGAAACACTACTCAGTCACTGTTA